TGGGATGTTAGATGGGGTGGGATCTGAGTTACTACAGAGAATTCTTTCCTGCGTGCTGGCTGGTGAGTCTTGCCCACATGCTCAGGGTTTAGCTGATTGCCATATTTGGGGTCTGGAAGGAATTTTCCTACAGGGCAGATTGGCAGAGGCCCTGTTTTTTTTTTTTGCCTTCCTCTGCAGCAAGGGACATGAGTCATTTGCTGGAGGATTCTCTGCACCTTGAAGTCTTTAAACCACAAGTTGAGGACTTCAACAGCTCAGACAGGGTCAGGGGTTTGTTATAGGAGTGGGTGGGTGAGATTCTGTGGCCTGCGTTGTGCAGGAGGTCAGACTAGATGATCATAATGATCCCTTCTGACCTTAAAGTCTACGAGAGGCTGCACTGGCAATAGATAAAACGTTACAAGAGTCTACTCTCCAGTGCTGAAGATGACCAACTAATATCTCACTGAGCCCATTCGAAGCTCCAGTACATTCATGGATATTTAACAAAGAAGAAATAAAGGCACAAGGAGAGCTTGTCCCAAACTGATCTAACTGGCAGAAAGGTAAAGAGAGATGTCACTTTGGCAGGGTGTGGGTAGGAGAGAAATCAGGAGTAATTTTCAGTTGAGAACATTAGCATACACCAGAAAAATCAATCGAGAATTCAGATCTTAACCAGCCAAACCATCATTAAAAGTGTGTGTGTGGGGGTGGGATAACCCCTCCTGATAATACGGCCACAATTCCTAAACCTATTTTCATCACTAGGGCACCTGTTGTGCTAATGATTAAATGGGAATCCTCCCCAGCCCCTACCAGCAACACTTAGAAGCTGAACAAGCAGCAAGGACAGTGAAAAATCAAGGGACATCACAAATTCATAATGCTGCCCAGCAAAGGGCATCAGCGGAAATCTCAAAAGGCTGGAAGGATAAAAGGGCTAAAAAGTCAGGAAAAGGTTAAATCAGCTTTCTTGCTTCCTGGTAAGTACGATCTGTGTGGGAGGCCTTGGCTCTCCTAGCAGAACATTTTAATAACATTCCCGGCACACCAGCTTCCATTTGTATGTGCTGAGGTGGAGGGCTGGCAGTGAATGCAAATCTCCCAGTTTTCTGCATGAGGCTGTCAGTCACGCACAGAGAGCACTGATAACAACAGGATCCGTTCATTGTGCCCCGGGGCCACATTGCTGTCGCGATGTATTACCGACCAGAAAGGTTTCATTATGCGCAAATGTACGAAGCAAATGATTAACTAAAGGCAAAAAAAGTTTGTAAAGTTTATTTAAACTCGTTATTTTAAAAACGCTTCCATTTGCTATAGGAAAGAGTGACTCATGGCCATTAGCACCAACTCACATAAATACAGCACCTCAGCCTCCAAGCTTCAGCAGCACTCTCCAAACTGCCACGTGTTGCTCTTTCCATCACGGAAATGCAGCTGTCTCTGGGATGAGCGCTAGCAGCCATTTAAACAGGGGTGACAAAATGTTTAGGATGGGAAGTGAAGAACATTGAGCCTCAAGTGAGGTCAGTGGAGCTGTGACAATGTACACCACTCGAAACTAGAGGTGGAATTTCAGGTACGCAGACTGTAACAGGTCACCACTCCTAGCTCTTGTGACAAGCACCACAGGACCTTGCATCAGAAATCTGGCACCTCCAGCGGCATAGAACCCCCTGGTATTATTCTAGAGCATTGGTTCAGTGCCAGTGCAGAAATGGGGAGTGCTGTCTGCCATGGTGATGGGCATGACAAAAGAAATACTACAAAGAGTTCCTGCCACACTCTGGGTTTCCTTGGAGGTCTCTAACCTTCAGTCCCATTGCTGCCCCTCTCCCCTTTGTCATCAGGTTTTATCTGTGCCACAACTAACTTCAATCAGAGTCCTGTCAACACCTCTTGCCGCTCTTCTGGCCCGCACTCCTGCCGGCCCCAGAGGCCTGGAGTTCAGTTTCCGGAACATCTTACGGTGGTTAACCCAGTAACAGTCTATGAACTAGGATTATCTTATTTTCTCCTCCCCTTTGGGAGACAGAGCAGAGCCACCGGAGCACGTAAGGCACCGTCTCCCAAACTCAACAGCAGCAGCTACCGGAGCACATTCAAGCAGCTCTATTTAAGGGCTTTGTGAATGTCAGGGTCCGTGCTACAACGCAGATCTCCTGCGTGACCTTGGGAGAGTCACCGAGTCTCTCCTGTGCCTCAGTTTCCCAGCTGTACAATGGGGATAATAGCACAGTGCTGCATCATGAGAGGGTTGGAAGGATAAATACATTAAAGACCAGGAGGCGCTCAAATACCATGGCGATGGGAGCCACTGAAGTACCAAAACAAAAAAGGGGGCCCTGTGCGGGGAGTTAGTGCCTGGTGCTCCTGGAATGGCCAGAGGAAAGCTTGACATCTCAGGGGCTGGAGTCATCCCCACAGTTTGCTAAAAGCAATCTTCATTAAATTGCCCTGGATCTAAACATAATTAGTGAGGTTCCATCATAAACAGACAGAGCACTTAAGGGCGGAATCCTGTGGCAAAGAGGCAGGACTAGGACCCTAAAACAGCACTAGTATCAAGGAAATGCTACACTCTGGCCCACCACCCTTGACGATGATTGATTACAACTATTCTGCCTCCTGCTCCTTCCAGCGGCTCCCCATTCCGTAAATTCTGTTTACACAGAACAAATCAACAAAGCCCACCCTCCCCTGTCCTAAAACATGAAGCATGAGAGTAAAAGAACTCTGTGCATTTAGAAACCTGAAACTTCTTCAGCTGTTTCTGTTGATTCTAACTCCAAGGCCACATGACAGAAACTAAAAAAGTTTGGGGAGGTATTTTAAATGCAACACATGTGGTTTGGGATCAGTTAAAACTATCGACTGTCAGTCTGAAATATGTGCTGGTGGTAATGAAAGCATGTTAGACACACTTTCAGGCTGCTCTCCCATACCAAAGGTTTTATCCCCCACTGGATAGATGCAGCTGGACATTCCTTTTGGTTTTATTAAGACACACATTTGTTGTTAGGATTTAAAAAAGAAAAAAGAAAAAGCCCAATCTGGTGGTTTTAGGATGAGAGCTTCCAGGTTT